AAGATCATCTTGTTCCAACCCCCTGCCACGGGCAGGATGCCATCCACTGGATCAGATTGCCCAGGGCCCCCATCCAGCCTGGCCTAGAACACTTCCAGGGATTGGGCATCCACAGCTTCTCTAGGTAACCTGTCCCAGTGCCTTGCACCCCTCCGAGTAAAGAATTTCCTCCTGTCACCGAACCTAACCTCCCCTCTTTTAGTTCAAAACTCTTCCATGGGCTGGGCTGCCGGGACGGGCCCCCGGGCCCGGCCGTGCCCGCGGTGCCGCCGGGCGCGATTCCCCGCGTGGCCGCCAGGAGGAGCCGTGGGCACGCGGCGCGGCCCCGGCACCGCCCCCGGGGGTCCGGGCTGGGCCGCGGGGGCTCCGCGGGGACCGCCCCGCATGACCCTCCGCGGAGCCGCAGCCGGGATGGGCTTCCCTCCCCTGAACCCCCTCCCGCGGCCCCGCGCAGGGCTCGCCCCGACGGGGAGTCCGCAGCTCTGCTCGCCGTTCCCCCCCATCCGCGCTCCCGGGGAGTTGCCATGGGGGGCTGCTGCTGCCCCGGGTAATAATGGGGGGCGGGGGATGTTGAGCTTGGGGGCATCGTAATCCTCCCGCTCTCCTTCTGACGAGTCCCTGGGAGAGGGTTTGCTCTGCCGGGCTTTTGCTGCTGTCTGACAACCCCCCTGCCCCAGAGTCCTGCACTCCTCCACCTCTAGGCACCCCGAGGTGGGTTCCCCCTTCTCCCCCGACTCTTGAAGGTCCCCTCAGCACCGCGCTGCTTCTGACCTGGGGGAAGAGCCCCAACACCCCATCCTAGCCTGGGAGCAACCTGGGAATCCCCAGTCCCTCAAGGAAGGCAAGAGGAGGAAAGCTGCTGGATGAACCTTTCCATCCAGGTTGCCTGCTGCTGCTTCGTCGTGGCATCTGGGGTAAAAGTGGGGTGCTGCCACCATCACATGACAGCATCTGGTCCAGAGGCATCCAGGCTCCTTCCTCCTGAACAGGATAGGCAGAGCATCATATCCCAGTCCTCCAAAGCTTTTTCTCTCCCTTGTCCACAGGGGCAAGTGAGGTAGGAGGAATAAAACACCCCAAGAAGCTGAACAGCACCATCATCACCTCCCAGCACAGACACTGGGTTTATCTGTGGATGGAAAGTCTTTGTATCAAAACAGGAGCCTGTTGGCCATAAGGAAAATACTTATGGAAAGCATTTTTGCTGTGGAGGGTACAAGTGAACTGTTCCCAAATGCTCGGAAAAGTCCAGGTACATGCTCAGGACCCTAGTGCTCTGCTTTTGATCCCACCTTGAGAAGGGAGGCTGCTTTTCCCTTTCCCCCCATCAGCACGAGTCTGTTGTTCATCTGCCTTCTCCCAAGAAGGGCAGGAAGGAGCATGGTCCCTTTGGGGGAACCTCATCCAGCTGCAAAGGTCAGGGAGGAGGGAGCAGAAGGCTTTTCTCTCAGAAATTCTCACTTCCAACTACTTCTTCCCTCCTTTGGAGTCTGGGCAGACGGAAGCAAGTGCTGACTGTCCCTCTAGTGCTGGGAGCACAGGGACTGGAGGCAGCAGGAGGGAGTTGTCCTGGATAAACTCCAGGTCAGAGGCAAGAGGGGCCTTGGGCCCACTTGGAAATGGCGTCAGGGCAGGGGAGAGGCCTTTCCCTATGCAGGAGAGACTCCTGTGCTCTGGGCTTTCTGTCTCCAGCTTCGTAGGGTTTGTGTTTGTCTTCTGGAGTGAGGCCTCCCATGGCCTCCTTGTTCAAAGGCCTCACAGTTGTTCCTGGGGAGCCCTGTTTTCTCCTACGTAGGACAAGCAAGCGGGGCCAGCCTTTTCCTCCTCTGTTCCCTTTGACTGGTATTTGGATCTCAGCATTGCCCCATCCCTTGCTATCTGCGATGACCAGGGAAACTGTGACCATGTCCAAGTCCTGTCTGTAAACAGCTCTTGCCCGTGCTGCAAAGTCACAGCTCATGGCTTTGTGTTGCTGGGTAAAATCCACGGCTCAGCCGTGCGGCTCTCGCTCGCTTTGGGAGCGGAGCCTTTACTCACCCCTGGGAGCAAATCGCAGCCTGCAAGTCTGTGTGTGTTTTATTCTGCCTTGAATGTTGAGAGCACTTAACTTGGGCTTGCAGGGAAACCTCGCTGCAACATCCCCGAGTTTCCTTCTGCAGCAAAACAGTTAAATACCGAGTCCCAGCCAGTCCACTGAGGACTCCCCCGTGGCAGGCTGAGGAGTGTCCTCCAGCTCCATTTGCTGTGCTGAGGGAAGGACAGACTCAGCTTTCCACAAGAATATGCTCCGGCCTCATAACCAGTGTGACAGTGGTCTGTGTGCTGCTGCAGTCAGACCGTGGTTGTCCAGAGAGCAGACCCAGGCAGGGGGACAGAAAGTGAGTGCTAAAACCAACTGGGAATTCTTTAAAGTCAAACCCCCAATATATATGGGTTGTCCTCTGAAGGGTGGATGGATCACAGAAGTCTCCTTGCCTGGCGCGAGCTCTTTTTTTAAATTTTACTATATTTTAGTTTTGTCTCTCTCTCTTTTTTTTTTTTTTTTTTTTTTTTTACAAAGTCCTGACTTTCTCACCCCCTCCCTGTTTCCCTCTGCTTTTCTTTCACACTCCTCCAGTGGGGGTCGAGCCAGTGTTTAACTCTTTCGTCCTTGTAGCAATTAGTTACTGGCTTTGAGAATACTCATAAGCCCCAGGTGGGACATGTCCCCTGGCCTTCAGCTGGAGCCTCCCAGACCTTCTTGTGTGTTGGGCACAGAGTCTTCTACAAGGAGGAAAGCAGTGGATAACTTGTCACTCTTAGTGTCGTGGCTGGCTGTCCCTGCCCGGTGGAGGTGCCCTCAGACTGCTGCTGGGATGCTGTTCCTTTCAGCATCCAGGAAAATGCAGGAAAACGGTCCCCTGATCCCCTGAACAGATTTGAAGGGCAAAATCTGCCAACTGCTCGGTATATTGATTCAAATGCATTATTCCTCCCTGGGCAGATCCCTGCCCTGGGAAAGGAGTAATCAGTGCAGGTGCAAATAGCTTTTAATTGCAAAATGTATCTCACCATGGAGGCATTTAGGCTGGATACGATACAACTGATACAGCAGCAGCCGGAGAAAGACCAATAAGCCGGAGCACTGCAGGAGCCAAACTGCTCCTATGCAATACCTATGGTGTAAATATTCATGTGTGGCCGTGTGGCCGTGTTCTTCCACATATCCCTGAGAGATGACACAGTAGCACTATGAGAAGATTCAAATATCATCTTCGGGGAATGTGAAAACTTGCTGTCAGTGACAGTTCCTGTGTGGGAACGCAGCAAGCTTGGGATGGGGATGTTTTGTGTGTGGACTCTCCTAAAGCCAAAGATCGGCCGCAGTTTCTCGGTGCCAGCGAGGTGCTGGCAGCGGGCTCTGTGCCTGATTTGGAGGAAGAGCTCTCTGCCCGAGGCTTAGCTGTAGGCTCAGGCGGCTGTATCACCCCAAGTGATGTACAGGTGGCTGGGACAGGGTCCTATACAGTTACAGGACTGCCTTAGGGTGCCTCTGGAGCTGTATAGCGGTGCTCAGAGCGTGTCGCACCGAAGCTGGCTATTCTCCGGGCCCTGTGCTGGGCTTCGGGCAGGGCAATGCAGCCCGCAGGGCTCCGCTGCCCTTCACGGAGCTCTGCGGCCCCTGGAAGGAGCGGGCAGGAGCCGCCCGCCGCTCCCGGGGCAGCATCTCCCGCACCTCGGAGCAGGGAGTGGGGGGATAGAGGGACACGGGAGCAATTCAGAGATAACGCTAACATTTCAGAGCTTACCCTCCCCAAAACGGGCCGGGGGATCCCCCTCAAGCCTCCGCGGTGTGACATCGCCCTGGAGAGAGCGAGTCGCCCGCCTTGCCGGGATGCACGGAGTTTTGTTTCATTATACGGGCAAAGATGGGCACGGCAGTGTTTGGGGAGGCATAACCCACTCAGCCGGCACAGCGAGCTCCCGTCCGCGGCGAGAGCTCTTGACAGGGGCCAGACCCCGGGCTCACGCGAACGAGTTGCGCGGGGAAAGGCTGGAGGGTGATGCGGGGAGAGCGGCGGGCGGCAGGTCGGGGAGCCCGCGGAGAGCTGCGGGACCGCGCCCGCTCCGCCACCGCGCAGCCAGCCCGGCTCTTCCCTAGCGACGGTGGGAATTGGTTTTATTATTATTATTCTTGTTTTCCCTAGGAAAACAAAAATCGGACTTCCTAGGAAAAAAAAAAAAATCAAAAAGAAGGAACTTTCTCCGCGAACCGTCCTGTTCGGAAATCGAGTGCTTGTGCCGCAGAGCAGCGCAGCGGTTCCGGGAGCGGAGCAGGAACCGGGAAGAGCTGCGAGGGTCCAGCGTGGTTTTGCGGCGGGGAAGTTTACCCCATGAGTGTTTCCAGCAGGGATAACCCCGCTGCGAGGGGCGGCCTCTCCTCCCCGGGCTCGGGCAGAGCGGGCGCGGCCGGCGGGGCAGGGGCCGGCGGGCGCAGGGCATCCTCAGCTTGGGGCAGTCGGGGTCGGCAGCCTGGCGCTGGCGGGCGATCCCCCGGGGAGCGGGGACGGCTCGACCACCCGCGCACTTCGCGGTGCTGCGTTCGGGCTGCGCGGGCGGTGGGGCTGCGCGGGGGCGAGGAGCGCGGCGCCCTCCCGGCCAGGGCCAGCCGCGGGCGCTCGGGGGTCGGTGCGGGGAGCGGGGCTGCCCCTCCGTGTCCCCCCGCGGTGATCCCCGGGCAGCGCCGCCGCCGAACAAAGGCGCGGCCGTGCCCGTGTCGGTCCCCCCGCCCCGGGGGGGTCCGGGCCAACTTCCCCCCGGGCCGGCCGGCCTGGCTGGGCGGGGCTATGCTAATGAGGGGGCGCGGCCCCGCCCCCGCCGCTGCCACTCGCGGGCGCCCATTGGCGGCGACGCGGCGGGGGCGGGGCGGTGACGCGATGCAAATGAGGGGGCGTGTCCGGCGCGGCCCCGCCCCCCGCCCGCCGGGGCTGCGGGGCTCGTGTTCGGCGGCGGGGACAGTCAAAGTGGCTCCCATAGGGAGAGACGGCGAGTCCGCCCGGCGCTGCGGGAGAGGGAGGGGGCACGGGGAGCCCCAGGGTCTCCCTCCGGCCGTCCGTCCGCGCCGCCGCCGCCGCCGCGGGTGCGCCCCTCTCGCTCCCTTTCCCGGCGTGCGCCCGGCTCTGGCAACTCGCTTCCTGCGCGGCTGGAGGAGGGAGGAGAGAGGAGAGGAGCGGAGAGCGCTTCGGCTGGGAGAGGAGAGAAGAAAGAGGGAGAAAAGAAAGAAAGAAAAGAGAGAGGGGAGAAAGGGGGGGGGGGACTTGCCTCTCTTGTCACTGGAAAATGACACTTGATGTAGCAGAGCCTGCCGCAGCTCCCGTTCGTCCTATTGTTTCTTAAACTGCCATCTGAGATTTTTTTTCCTGCTGCCATCCGAGGGGTGTCTTCATACAAAAGGGACTTCAAGTACTCCTCCGGCTTGTGAGCGCTGCAACCAGCCCCCAGCACCCCGCTAGCCCCTCCAAGCACCCAAACAAACTGCACACGCAGCAAACAGCAGCAACAAAACCGGGCTCTGATTGCCTCTGGATTTTTTTTTTTTAATGTCCGTGCCTGTGATTGCTTTCTCCGACTTGCTTTGATTCCAGAGATCAGCAGCAGAGAGAGAAAAAGGAGAAAAGAAAAAACCCACATATAACAGTCCGCCTGGTGATTTTATCACTTTTTAAAATTTCGAGTAAAGAAGGAAGATTTGCGCTGTTGTTTCTGATTCATGTTTGGGATTCAGGAAAGCATCCAGCGGAGTGGGAGCAGCATGAAGGAAGAGCCCCTCGGCGCGGGGATGAACGCGGTGCGGACGTGGATGCAGGGAGCCGGCGTCCTGGACGCCAGCACGGCCGCTCAGAGGTAGGCAGGCTCCGCGCCCGCTCCGCTCCGCGCCCCGGGGCGCTCCCCGCCCGCAGCTCTGCTCCCCTCGGGCAGCGCCTTCTCCCCCCCCGCGCCAACAAAAACCCTGCCCTGGAGCTCTGCTACTAGCAGTGAGTTTCGCGTAGATGTCGCCAGTTAAATATTTATCCCTATTGTCCCGCAGGAATGACTTTTTATTAAATAATGATAACAATAATAAAGGAAGCAGCGAGTTTCGCTAGGTACGGATAGGTGGGTTTCATCTCTCCGGCCCCTTGTGTTTGCTAGGAGGAAGGAGTTTTCAAAACTATGTTTGCTGCTGATTTAGTCTTGAGATCTCCAAATGACACTTTCGTCCCCCGATAAGCAGCGAGTTGTGCACGGATGTATCCAAAATATATTTCTCTACCTCGCTTTCCTATCCTCGTCACAATCAGAAGCTCCTCTTCTTTTCCTCCGATAAGCAGGGAGTTTGCAAAGCTTTCTCCAGGATAAATTTATTTTGAATCCCCTTAGTAAAACCACTGTCACTTATCTCGGATTTTTTAAAAAGAAGTCACTCCAAATAGGAGGTGGTTTTGGCGAAGCTGCACCCAGCCTCGCTTTCTCTCTTATTTCTCCTTCTTCCCATCCTCTTCCCCGCGAAAAAAAAAAAAATGGCACGAACCAAACCCTGATGCCGGGTTCGCAGCCTGAGCCCGGCATCAGCCGGCATGAGTTTAATGTTGACATCTCCCTGTGTCTCCCACCTCGCCCCGCACCCCTCCCTTTGGAGCCCTCTAAGGAAGGGAAAGTTTCTGCAGGGACAACCCTGAAATATTTCAAGTTGTCTCCTGGGCTCGGTGTTTACCCACCGCTCCGGCGCGGGAGGAAAGGCTCGCAGGACTGAGGCTGCAAGATAAGGCACATGGGCGCTGGGGTGACAGCTCCGAGCCGAGTTTGAGAAGTGGCAGGACCGATGCTGCTCCGCGGGGCAACGCACCGGCGGCGCTGAGCGCGGCTCCGCCGCCATGCAGGGCCGGCCGCGGGCGGGCACGGCCCCTGGGGAGGGCTGGTGGGTACCGGGGCCGGGGGGGCTGCTGGGGGCCTCGGGCTCGCCGCAGGGCGGGATGGGGTCGGGGCTCCCGGGATTCGGAGCTTGAGCCTTTCCCCACGCCCGGAGGGAAAAGCTCCGGGGCGACTCGGGGGAGGGGGGGGATGCTCAGTCCCGGGGAGGGACCAGCCGGGTCCCGGTGGGGGAAGGAACGGGCCCGGGAGTCTGCTCGGGGAACGTGAGGCCGCGTCGTCGGGGCTGCCGCTAACCCGCATGTTTCTGGTCCCAGCGGAGTGGGTCTGGCCCGGGCTCACTTCGAGAAACAGCCGCCTTCCAACCTGAGGAAGTCCAACTTTTTCCACTTCGTCCTGGCTCTGTACGACCGGCAGGGGCAGCCCGTGGAGATCGAACGCACCGCCTTCGTGGGCTTCGTGGAGAAGGAGAAGGTGAGTAGCCTGGTGCCCCGCGGGGGCTCGGCGGCCTCTCCCGGGCCCTCCTCCCTGCTCCTCTCCCACGGGGCCGCGGCGTCGGCTCGTCCCGAGAGCCACCGCCGCCTCCCGGGCGCCTCACTCTTCCCCTGTCCCGGAGGGCAGACGGGGAGGGGATGTCCCCTGATCCCTCGCTATGCCCGGGGCAGGAGAGAGGGCTGAAAGCTACCCCGTCTAGCACCGGGGGCACCCGGTGCGCGAATGATGGAGAAACTTAATTGATACTCTTTTTCCCTTTCCCTCCGGCCTCCCGCGCTCCCTTTGACTTCAGGAAGCCAACAGTGAAAAGACCAACAACGGTATCCACTACCGCCTGCAGCTGCTCTACAGCAATGGTAAGGGTTGGGAGACCCCGGTGTCAGACCCTTCGCACCCCGCCACCTCCGCGGCTTCAGAGCCCCCCGGAGGCCGGGGAGCCGCTGCCCCGGCTCCCTCCGCTCCGCGCACCCCCGCGCTCAGTGTCGGGGCTCTGCGGGGACACGGGCGGCCCCGGCGGGCCTGAGCCCTCGGGCGAGCCCAGGCTCGCTGCCCCGCTCCTCACACCTCTGCCTTGTTTCAGGGATCAGGACGGAGCAGGATTTCTACGTGCGACTCATCGACTCCATGACCAAGCAGGTGGGTGCTGCGGAACGCCCGCGGAGGAGGGGGGTGCTGCGGGGGGTGGCAGCCGTCGGGGCGGCCCCCGGGAGCGCGGCGGGGCGGCCCGCGGAGCCGAAACCCGCCCCCGCGGCGGAGCGGCTCTGCCCCGGCGGGGAAGGGAAGGGAAGGGGCCGCTGCCTCCCACGGGCACGGCCGCGCTCCCCGCTCTGCGGCGTCGGGGCTGCGGGGCGGCGCGGAGGGTCCCCGCGGGACCCCTGCCTGCCGCCGGGCTGGGAGGCGAAAAATACAGGAGACCCTCCAGCCATCCCAGCCAGGGCCGGGGCTGGATTTGCCGTTTAATTGATAAGAATTAACCTCCGGCCTCCGCCAGCCCCCGAGCGCTGCTGGCACAAGCCGCTGCCCCGGCGCGGGGTTCTGTCGGTCCGTCCGTCCTTTCTTTGCGCTGCTGCCGGGTCCGTGGGTTAAAGGAGGAGCGATTGTATCGCGACACGTTTGCATGTCGGAATAGTTCCCCGAATCGTTGCCCGGGGAGCGGCGAGCTCGGTGTCGGACTCGGGAGGACAGCAGGGATTGTCAGTGGAATTAATCTTCATTTTAAGCTTGAACTTTAGTCTCCAAAACAGTAATAACGTGCGTGCCTACCTGTAAAAAATACTTTTCTGTTTAAAACCAGTATTTGTTACAAAGGGACTGTCTGAACAAACCGATTCTTTCTCTCTCTCTCTTTTTTTTTTTTTTTTTTTTGACTGTTACTCTGGCTTTTTCTTCTGCTCCTCTCAGAATATTTTCTTCATAGAATCTGTTTCTTTCAAATACTTGGGATCGCTTTTAAGCCTTTTCATCCTTAAAATATGTTTCTTCCCCTCGTAATCTATTTTAGTTGTTAAAGAAAATTCTTAAATTTTATTAAGAAAAACATCGAGGGTTTTTTTTAGGAAAAGTCAGTCCCTGTGAGTTGTCTGTAGAGACAAAACTCTTGGCTTATATTTGGATTTCTTTTCTACAGTAAAACATAAAAACATAAAGCTCTAAGGGCTGAGTTTGTTTTACAAAACTCTCTTTGATGATCCCAAAACATCTTTTCCTGCTATTGAAGACTGTCTTTCAACAGAAAAAAAAAAAAAAAAAAAAAAAGGAACCTGGATGAGTTTTGCTAGACAATCCACTATGCATCTTATCTCTGTTACACTGTACACTTCCAAACAGAACCCATTCCCTGTAGGAATTAAAACAGCAGCAACATACCCTTCTTCATAAAAAAAATCCTGGAAAGCGTTTGCTGTCATTCCTTGTTTTTCAGGCACAAATTGGTTAGTTTTTGTTAAAAGCAACAAAATCTTCCTGATCCGTGAACTCCTTTTAGTCCTTTTGGAGCTTGTGTATTTCAGCGTAGACAGTGTGAGAGAGACTATCAATAAATATCATCTTTAAAAAGCTTTCCTATCGTTACGGAAATGCAGAAGTCTCTGCTCATAATCCCGTTGAAAACAGAGCCCTGGACACATGGAGAGCAATGGATTCAAAATAATTTTCTTAACAAAGGCATCTTGCATATGAAGAGTTCATCCTAAGGCACTGTTTGACCTCTTGGTCTCTCATTATTATCAAGTCATCAGAGGGTCTTTGGAGAGAAAGGGGAAAAAAATCCCCGAGATACAGTTTATTTGTAAAACCTACCGTGTAGCTTTAAAGCACACTCACAATGAAGAAGAAGGGGAAAAAAAAATCTCTCTGATTTCAGGAAGTCTTAGAAAAACAAAGTTAGTGCAAATTACAGATTTTGGGGAAAGTGCGGCGGGTTTGAGAAGTAGGAGTTTAAGAACAAAAGCTCTCTGAACTTAGATTAGAAAACAGGCAGCGAAAGCCTATTTTAGACACAAACATGTTTGCTTACGTATTAATTTCATGCATACAATTTCTTTAGGCATGACTGTAACTGCTTATGAAAAATAGGACATTGTCACGTCAAAACTGTGGCATGTGTCGCTCTGAATTTTCCTGGGGACCGGATGCTAAATTCTCCTTCTTTTGTTTTAATTCTTTCTTTTTAAAAGTGAAATTATTGCAGGCTTGGGATTGCATCGGTTACTGAATGCTTATTAGGAAGTGGAGTACAACACATGACAGAAGCTCACCCAAATGTTGAATATATCATTTATATTTTATGACAGTGAATTATATAGAAGATTCTCCAGTAACTTTCAAATCATCAAACTGTAATTAAATATTGCAAAGACTGTCTGAAAATTCTTTAATTTTTAATGAAAGTTAAATATATATTGTCAGTCTACTTGAAGGTGTAGTATTTTAATGCACGATGCTCAGAACAAATTGGATAATGAAATGATTACTTTTAAATGAAACTGTTGCAGAAGCGTACACGTTTCAGCTGGCAAGTATTTTCTCAGTCCTCACACACACACATTCACACACTCGATAATTGTGAATTCCCAGACTAAAATTACAGCTACTCTGAGGTTTCTGGTGGCAAATTAAAAATCCCAGAGAGGCAAAGCTTGAATGAGTTAGGTTCCCCAGATCATACAGGAAAGTATCTGTGGCTTTTTTTATATAATTTTTTTTTCAAATATGGACACATCAGATTTATGTGTATTCTCTTTGTCTCACAGTTATAGATTGCAAGGTTTTGTATGGTTGCAGATTAGTAAGTTAAGTAAGATAAAATAAAAGCCATTCTGAAAATCAGACCTAGATTTCTGTACATAGGATTGCTGCTCAGAGATTTAATGTGAATGTCCCATCAGCAGCATGTATTCTACCAGGAGGTAGGCAGGGCTTGGCTGTGCTGGGGGCTGTGTATGTTATAAAGAGTAGATGTTTCTTCTCCTAAGTGTTCTTGATCTAAGTCAGAGATTTGTTCATGTGGCTGTGCCCAGCTAAGAAACTCGGAGCAGGAGTCCTGTCATGGGTGGAACGGAGGGATCCACACGTCCTGGTGCATGTGTGTGTGTTCTCTGTCAGCTGGGGAGCAGGATGGGAAGCGGGGCTGGAGAGTGGCGCTACTGAAGTAACCAAGAGTTTCCTTGTGAGCTGCTGCATCCCAGGGCAGCTCTGGGCTGTAGGATGAACTGTGCAGGCTCTACCCCAAAACATGAGCTTCGGCCGCACGTGCGCTCCTCGGGAACGTGGGCTGTGGGACTTCCAAACGGGAAACCCAGGCAGGATTGGTTCAAAGTGCATCATTTTGAGTTGCTTTTGGGATGACGCGCTCAGCCTTTGGTGATGGCCCCAGAGAAGCGCTGGGTGAGACAGGAATTACTTGGCTTTCAGCGGTCTTGCTAAGTTTCCAAAACGCATCCCCCATCATTTAAAAATTGTAAATACTACTCACAAATCATTCATGTGGTGGGGAAGTTCTTTTTTTCAGTTTGGGTAACAACATTAGTTGTCAAAACTGGCTTAATTGAATTTTCTTTTACGTTATATTGGCACCTCATTTTATGTCAGGATCACATTCCTAATGCGTTCAAAACCCTGTAGGATCCCAAACTTTATAGCTGTTGCTTTCCGTAAAGCGGCAGCTCCTCCCGCAGTAGGTCTGGCTCTAACAATGATGCATTTTGAAATTGCCCGCAAAACGTGAAATATGTCTGCTCTAATGAAACCAGAGTTTTTAGGCAAGTCTAAGGATTTTAATATATTTATGGAGAAGAGATGCCTTCTATTTCTTTGACTCTATTTTCATAAAGTTGAGATATTTCACTATTAGGAAAGATGGAGGAAATAAATCTGAAATAGTTGTTCCCCACCCATTTTTCCTTCAGCTGTTCTCATCCATAAGATATAACGGATGCTAATAGAGCTCAGGCATCTTAAGAATCATAAGTTTTGCTCGATTACTATTGTCTATTTCTGAGAGTCCTCATGAGTCAAAACCCTTAAACTCTGTTTATATTTTGGTTTTTTTTTCCCCAGTACTATAACTCCGGATGCAAATGGATTTTCTGTTGACTTCTTTGTCATTCTCTGATGTCTGCAGATATTTGATCAGCTCCTATTCTGTGCATGGCATGGCCCTTCTCTGGCAGCTACATGCATGGGAAAAAAAAATGTTATCAATAAGTTCAGAGGAGGCTCAGCAGACTCAGAGAAATTTCACACAAACATAAAACAAAACCTAACCCCTGTGACGGGGAAAGTTTACATTGCACCAGATTTTAGCAGCTTTCTTGTGCCTTTGGTGAGATGTCAGAAGCGCAGGTGATTTTAATTTTCTTGTACAGAGAGGAATGGAGAAGTTTGGAATTTGCATGCATGATCAGGACCTGTGTTTGGGAAAATGTAAACTCATCACAGTGGAAAATGTGTTGTTTGGAGTCTGAGGGTGAAAACAAAGCTGAGGATTTTGGAGAGACTGCCTGAGCCAGATGGCCTGGTGCATTCCCAGTCTGGCAGCCCAACTGCTCCCTCCTGTATAATATACAGCCATTTGTTCTGGGATATTTACGCTAGAGCTGTTTCCATGTGAATGTTTGAAAACCATTAAAAATGAACATATTAGGAGAGATAAATTTATTTAATTCATGTGAACACGTCGATAAGCAGGCTGTGAATCAAAGGCAGAGAGAGACTGGATAAAATAATTAGATACTTCTGAATTGTGCGTTGAGAGACAGAGCAAGAACTCCCTGTCCTTGCCCCGGGACCAGCACTCCGCTGCTTGTCCGGGATAAACCTCACTGGGATGAGTTGAAATTTCACTGGGGGAAGGGGTAAAACCTCGGGTAACTAAGGGTTAAGGATTCAAAGCCAAATAAATGTAATTCACAGTATTTTCTGTGCAGATATATAGTGGGTACAAGCCTGATCCTCCCTGGGTGAGACTCTGGCCCATCTGAAGTCAATTGCACAGCGCCTATTGAATTCGGTGGGGCCAGGGTTTTATTTGCTCCCTGTGTGCATGGCCATATATATGTCATTCCAAATCATTTTAGTTCTGTTTTGGAAAAGACCCTAATTTTAATGAGTTTTTCCTTCTCCTTTATTTTTGTAAAGGAGATACTTTGTTTTGTGAAGCAGCCGAGGAATTCGAAAGCAAGTGGGTTTAGATGCATGTTGGTGATTTCTCTCCTTCTCTTACTCTTTTAAAATCAAGGCCATGACATAACTGAGTAATATAATGACCATGATCTCATTCCTTCAAGATTGTTTCTCGTCCAGTTCCGAAAGCAGAATTGCTTGACTGGCAAACTGACACCAGGAGACGATTCTGCCCTCAGTTGTACCAGCATAAATCTGGATTTATTCAGGAATGGTTAAGGACAAAATCTGGCTCTATGTTTTTCCAAATTATTAATCAACTCTTTTATTGCTTTATCCTGCTGTCTTTATTGGGGAAAAAGTGGATTAAACGAGAACTGTAGTCTTGACCTTTATATTACTCTCCTTCCTTTCATCTTTAATTTTTATTTATTTTTTTTTTTTATAATGTACTCTGTCGCTGAAAAGTTTAGGAGAATCGTTGGACGCACTTGACTGCGATGTGCTCAATTTAGGAATTTTTATTTACTGGCAAGCAGTGAATTGCATTTAATTTAACTTTTTATGCATTTAATTTAACTTTTGTTAATGTGGAAGTGAGGAAGTCTTATATTCTTGACATCAATTTTTCGGGACCTGATTTTGAAATCCACTTGTGTATGAGTGATTGTTACTCACTGGGATTTCTTGTAGGAAGGTTACTTGGGTAAATAACTGCTAGCAAAATGGAAGATGAATTTTGTGGGGAAATGTTTAAGTTGCTCAGGACTAGTAAAGCTATTTTCAAATGCTTGTGAAACAACACCAAGTTAAAACTACACAAAGTAAACAAAAAGAAAAAAACCAAAGTCTATAATTTTGCATTTCCGTTGCTGGTGTTCTGTTGTGCAACCCTGATGTGTATTTGCAGGCTTATTTTTAGCTCTGCTGTGGTCTAAGTTTATGCACTGTAACTTTCACTTTATCTCTCATTAATGTGATCCCTATTTGACAAAATCACGGCGATGTTGGTGTGACTGGGAATCCTGACACAATCACCCTGTTTTAAAGCCTGAACTTTAAAAAAAATCATAATTAAAAAAAAAAATTACGATATTTTTGTTAAGAGGAGTAGCTTTTCAAATCCGAGAGTTAAACATTTTCGCAACCATAACGTAGTAGACCCTTCCTGTAAAAATACTTCTGGCAGCTCTAACGATCTGAAACTTTAGCAGTTCCTGTTTCCCTTTTGAAACTAATTGTAGAATTAATGCTTTAGAGCAGCGCGGTCTGCGAGGCGGTCGAGTATCTGCAATGCTCTCGGGCAGCCATTCATGGGAGCGAACAGTTGGTGCTTTGCACACCCGTTCACACAAGTGAATTGGGACGCAGGAATGGGAGACGGGGATGAGCTGCTCAGGAATCAACCCTGCTAGTCCTCCTGCTTCCTAGAATTTCCTAGAAATTCCTGCAGGAATAGGGTATGCGGGAGTAGCTGCGTTGAATGCGGAGAAAACAAAATGTGCGCGGGTACAACTTCGATAATTGAATGCAAATAAAGTGAAAAGCAAATCCTTAGCGTAGAGGAAGGCAGAGGAGTGTCATGCACGCAAAGAAGGGATCACTGATGCTAAACACAACAGACAAGGTGATTATGTACCACAGTGTTGACTCTGCCCGTTCATTATTGCTATTTAGTTGAGTTATTTAAGTGGGTACCTGGAGGTTAAGTAAGCACAGCAGCAGGAAGGGGAGAGGAGGAGAGAGGGAAGAGGAAAAAAGGAAAGTAAATTTTGTGTTCTGCTTTGTAATTTCTAGTGCTTCCTTGGCCCACTGGCAACAAGATAACCCATACTGGGTAAATTTACTTTAAGAGTGTGAGAAGAACAAGCAAGTCCAGCAGCTCTCTCTCAGGTCCTGTTACCCTGTGTCACACTGTGATTGCCTGGAGGTGATGAGGAACTGGAGGTGCTTGTCCCCACTGAGGGCCTTGGGGGCAGATCTGATCTTTCCCCCTTGCTCTGCATTCTCAGAGGCAGATTATTCTTTAACTGTTGACGATGTCCAAAAAGTGCCGTCAGCTTCCTCCTTGTCTGGCCTGTCCCACTACCAGGTGGAAACTGATTTGGGGTTTTCTGGAGTCTTTGCCATGTCCCCACTTATCAACCCCACCAGGTGTCAGCCAGTTACTTCGATTCTCTGGTTTTAGCTGGAAGATGCTTCTCCCATCTTCCCCTTTAATGTTGGAAATGAGGATCTTCTGAATTTATTCCATCTCCTGCTGTAACACAGGAATGACTGTAATGCCATTTTCTGAGGCTTCTTGCAAACAGTCTCTAGCCCTTTTGGGCACTGATGGAGAAGTACCTCAAGGTGGAGTCCCAGCTGGGATCAGGGGGTTGCTGGTGTCTGTGCTGGGGGGACTTTCCATGTGTCCCCTTTACAGGAGTGCTGGGTTCACAGGTGTTGTGCCTCACTGCTGGAAATGAGGGGGCAGAAATCAGGTGAAACTCTGTGCCAATTAGTGGCAATGACAGTGGAGGCTTCTGTTTTATCAGCAGTGAAACACCAACCCTGCCGGCTCTCAGGTTTTAGAGGAATGCAAAACTGAAATTAAAAAATGAAAACTAGCAAAGGTAAGGTAACACAGACCCGTTCCTGATATTGTTTATGGAATTATTAAATCATTTTATAATACATAATAATTATATTGCATGTTACTATTTAAATAGTGTTGAAAGTCAGCTCATGGTTCTTCAGATTTGTGTGTCCTGAGATTTTTGCCCCCTCTGAGGTACAACACCTCTTACCCTTGGTGGGCTGTATTTGTAAGGTCTGGGAAAGTAGTTCATATGATCCTACTTTATCCTTTATTAAGGTAACTTATTTTTCTGTCAGTATTTGCCACACTTCAATTTCAAAGTGGTCTCATTCCTTAAAATTTATTTCACCCATGTAGGCTACTCATTAGATTTCAATATCTATTTTATCATAAGCTTTAGGGATAACCATAACAGATGTCATTTTACCTGCAGAGTTTTTCCCCCAAATTTCTTCTTTCAAAGTCTGTATTTTCAAGGCTGAAAAGGTCACACCGAGCTCAAGGGTAGCGCCGATGCTCAGATGCAGGAATGGTCATCCCTCCAAGGCTGGGACTCTGATCCCAGCTCTGGGGTGGCACTCTAAAAGATTTAGGAACCTCAGTGCTGTCTAAAGATGCCGTTGCAAAAGAAGCTTCTTTTCACTGTTATGTTACTGCTGGGGGGTCTTGTGTCCAGGACGAGGGGTGGTTGGAAATCATAACTATGTTGGGATGAGATGGCAACCCTGTCCTGCAGGGGCTGTGGGCACTAACCTAGTTAGTGTGTAACGCCGATCCCTCCCTGCTGGTCCTGCTGGTGGGAGCAAATGTAGGCTCTTCTTGAAATGTGAATACACTGTCTTTCCACAGTTTTAGCTTAAAGGATTTCCCCTGTGCTGTCTCAGAGTCAAATTTCTGAAGTCGGTTGATCCTCTGTTTGTTTTGGTCTCCTCTGCTCTGGTAGGGCCTGCTCCTCACTTATTTATATCCCTGTAACTCCAGAGGTGCTCTCTGGAAAGTGGTGGATCACGAGGTTCAAGGGAAGAATCAGGCCCAGGCGCTTCCTCAGGAGCTACCAGGAAAATGCCTGGGCTGTGCAGCTTTTGTAATTAAAAATGCATGAGCTCTCTCTTTTTTGTCTTTTTTTTTTTTTTAATGAATAGGACCCAAAGTATACCAAGCCTTGCTGGTTTTTTTCCCCTCCTTCCCCCCTTTTAATGCTATTAGGTTTGTATTTTATTCTGAATTGAAAAGAAAATTGTGGTTGTCTTGACTACTGAAAAAACCCCATCCTACACACTGCTCGAGAGATGTGCAACAGAGAGGAGGGAATTTAGCTGTACTCAGCTTGTGCTTTTTCCAACTGCAAGTCTTGGAGCAGGTTCAGTGGAGACACCGTGGTCTCTTTAGCCCGTGCCGTGGTTTGAAGCTCCGGCTGCGCCTTCGCTTACCGTGGTGCATTTTTATTTCCTCCAAACTCAACCTGATGCACAACTGAAAACTGTGTTTTGTTTCTAGGCGATAGTATATGAAGGCCAAGACAAGAACCCAGAAATGTGCCGAGTTCTGCTCACGCATGAAATAATGTGCAGGTAAGAAAATACCCCGCTTCCACTTAATTAGTGATGAGAAGATGAATCTGTCTCCCAAAATCTAGGTTGAACCTGCAGCTATTTTCGGACTTAAATTTATCTTTCTTGCATTAAACAATCCCAAAATAACACAGTTCGGTGTGTGTAATTAGCAGCAAGGTCTCAGTCGTCACACTAGTTTTCAATTATTTATAAAGAGTTATTCTTAACAGAACGCTGCTGGTTTTCATTTAGACACTGTAGCTTGCAAAAGGTCTTCTCACCAAAATTAACAGTCTATTACAGTCTTCTAGCAATAAACGTCTCTGCCCCCAATTCCCAACAAAAACTCCTCAGTAAAATGACAAAATAGGTTTTCTTGTTGTTTGTTTTTTTGTTTTGTTTTGTTTTGTTTTGTTTTCTGGATGCACATTAAGGAGTGAGGTCAGGAGGCTTTTTTGTCCTGGTTGCTGCTCACTTGAGGTTCCTGCTTGGACAGAGTGGAGCAGGTGATGCTCCTCCATGCAAAAGATTTCTTCATCTTGATTTTCTTTAAACTTCCCCATGCAGAACTTGGCTCTGTCCTGTGCTCTCTTACCCTACCTGGGGTTGGAGACTTAAATTCAGTGCAGTCAAATATCTTCTCCCCTAAACTTCTGCAGCTGCTTCCTTCTCTGTTCTGGCTGACTGAAATAGGTGAAGCCTCTTCTACTTCCTTTTTACCACAGAGAAAGCAGCATCTTCCCCCAGACCCCTCTGACACCTTGGAGAGCTTGACCTCTCAGTCTCAATAAAGTTAGTGGGTGTTTTTTGCATGTCTGAAAAAATCATTTGTTACATGTTATTCGATGGCAGAAAATAATTCCCTGGTGGAAGACGAGGCGTTCTTGCATAAGCTCATTGTTACAATCAGTTGTTTTAAGACTGTAAAAATGCCATTGCATGCGCTGTAACTTTTGCAAAACACATTTACTAAAAAGGAGTAACTTGAGGGTAAAAACTAGTACCCACTTCTAAGAGAATAAACTTGGATGAGGGTTCCCTGGCAGGGGAGAGTCTTTGACAAAATATTTGGATGGAAATTTCTCTGTTGGCTGATTTTTTTTTTTTTTCATTATTATTTTTGGGTGTTTTTTCATTCTTGAGATTTGCATGTTTTTGTCCTCCATGACATCTCCTCCTGATAAAACCCTGCTGGGGGTGGCACCCTGTGATGCCAACAGGGAAGGAAGGAGCTTCTCTCCTTGCTCTGCCAGCCTGGGTGAAACCCTGCACAGCCTCCCCAGAATTCTTCCTTGCAGGATTTTGGGGGCTTTTAGCTTTCATGCCGTGTTTTTCTACGCTGCTTCACTTGGTAGGTTTGGCTTCTTCCAGGAAGCCAAAGACAACGCATTACAGCTCCAGAACAATCACAGCAGATGGGTGTTTCCAAGAGGTGCCTGAGCTTCTGCTGCTGTTCAGAGCTGCAGTGTTGCTTTGCTGAGGAGTCCTGGCCAGTTCTCCCTTTCCAAATGGAAACCCAGTCATGTTGACAACTTGTAATTGCCCTAAAATTCATTGGCCCAATTAGCACCACTTTCACTCTGGGTACCTAGCTAGGAACAATTCATGGAAATATTAAAGGAGGCCCCTGACCTGATAAGGCTGAAGTGCCTTTTGCTTTTCTCCTCTAACAGACCAGTAAAACATGGACACTGGGCACATGAGTAAAATTAAGCACAAGCTCAAGTGCCTGCAGCATCAGGGTCTGAATCTGTCATTAGTCCTGGGTGATGTACCCTCCTGATCCTTAACCAGCAAAGTTTGGAGGTAGGAATTACTCACTGAGCCACAATCACTTGCTTTAATGCAATAATTTTCATACAAATACTTTAGAAACCTAAAGTGGATGAAGTAAATTAAAACTTTATATAGTGGGCTGAGTTTTAAGTAGAAAACCAAATACCTGCATTACAGATTTACAGCCGCTCAATATGTTTTGACTGAGACAAAATTATTTCTGTTCTGGGAATGTGGAAAGATGTGCAGTCATTCCCTTTATTAAAACACTTTGCTCTTTCTTTGTTCTTAAAATTCACTGGATCAGAAGCTTTATTCTTCTCCTTCTATTTATTTAGTGCTAGTCCTTGCTTTGTATTTCATAACTGTTAGGTGAAGGAGTAGGAAAAAAAAACCACCTGACCATAGCAGGCAAATGTTGTGTGCCTGACGGGGTGGGGGAAACATATTCAAATTTCTTATAGCTCATATTAGATATTGCCCATTTCCTTTGCTGCCTATATGTGTGTAAGAGGGTGCTGTTTGTTTACCAGGCCGCTTGACCCTATTGCACAAATCTGTCATCTATTGTGCTGCTAACACGCTTTTAAATTGCAAATCTGATGCTCTTTAGGGGTCTAGAAGGGAAAAAAACCCTCTCTCTCCACACCATTCTGTTTCTCTTGATTTCTTGCCTGTTGTAAGTGGAAGTTGGGATGTGCTGAATTTGCACCAGGGGTGCAAATGCAGCCTCAATTATAAGCATAAAATTAGAGTCTGTTCCCCATTAATCAGCCCAGCTAATTGCTATGCACTACCATTAGCCATATGGTGTGAAAGACAGCTTGCTCTCCCTAAGATGAAATTTCTTCATTTCAGACATGAAATAGTGAGGGCTCTGTATTTTAAAATAGCTTGTTTTAGATATTTAATTTCTAAACAACTTTCAGCAGTGCTTTCTATCAAGGCTAACTGCACAATAAAACTTTGCATTTATGTGACAAAGCTGGGTATTTATAGTGTACTACAGCTACGGCACGGAGGAGACAAAGAATTCAAATGTATAGGAGAGTCCTGGCTGTGGTAGGAAAGCGGAGCTGAGGTTTGCTTCAGGTAGCTGTTTATTTCAAAGGATTTCATTGTGTTTTGTCAAATATAAAAATCTACACTGTTGGCGAAATGTTAATAGCTGGGGAGAATTCACAGCCTCAGTGGAATTTATTAGTATTGTAGGCAGCATGGGGAGGGACATCTATAGTTAATATTGCCTCAACAATTTCCATTATGAAACCTTCAGTGGCTTACAGCTTTGCCAAACTTAAACTGTTCTGGCTGAAATATCCTTTGCAGGGTGTCAGCCTCAGGCTGACTTTCTTTGGAAAGTTTCAGCTAAAATGGTTCAGCGATTTCTGAGAATGAGGTTGGAGTAAAATATGGGTTTTGTCTGTGTAAAATAAGATCCTACAGCTGTTTTGGCAAGAGGGTTCCCGTACCTCCAAGCTTCAGGGTGAGGAGCCTGTTTGGGGCAGGGGTTGTCCTGAGTGCATCATCTGTGGGAGGAAACCCACCTCGCTGGGGACCTTCTGCAAAATCTCCCACACGGACTCGCTGACGACTTGTTAGAGCCTGGCAGCTGATGATCGGAAAGTCGCCTTTGCTTTGCTGGCCACGTGCCACGGCCCCGTAATTTCTCATTGTTCATTGTCCCCGCGGAAAGGCCGAGCGCAGACACACAAAGCAGGGGGCTCCTCGCGTGGGGATGCTCCGGCCACCACCCCAGGGTGGGGACGGGAGCACTGGAGAGTGACAGATGTGGGGGTGAAGGGACCATCTCCTGTGTGCCCGCAGAGGGGGCCTGGCAGTGCAGGTAGAGATCCTGCAGCACAGGGGAGAGGAAGCAGAAAGAAGGCAGGAGAGCAGCAGGTCCCAAGGGGGTTGGGGTGAGGACAAAGGCAGCAATAGAAGCTGGCAGTAGTGGTGGCCAGGGAAAGAGAGGCCTCTGAAGGAGTAGGATGGGGATGGTGTAGGGCTTGGGCATGAGCCACGAGGATGGCAATAGCAGGGGGGTAGATCTGGAGTGCAGGAGCTGGAGGAAGTTGTGATGAGAGGCTGCATCACTATCAAGGACTACTTGTTTTAAAAACAAGCAAACCCCAAAACAAATCAATTTTTGTACGCTTTTTCAGTGTGGCATTTTGTCTGAGCTGTGGCTCCTTCACCCACTTGGGGAGAGATGTCATGGAAGAATAGCAAAGACAAATCCTCATCCTCCTGGCTGCAAAGAGCTGGCATTCTCTGTTCTTTCACAGAGCCTTAGTGGGAGCTGGAGGGTTTCTGGGTGGTTTGGAGAAACTCCTGGGAATTTTAAAATTCTTTCAGGAAAAGGAGAAAGGGTGCTGAACATTTAGGAACTTATTTCCAAGTGTTAAGTAGGCACTAAAAGCCAAAGCTTTTGAGGCAAATTGAATTAAAAGCACTTTTAAACAGGTCTGAAACTCAGGGTTTGCATGATGTTTTAATTCTCTGCATAGAAACCTAGAGTGAAGAGGCCTCAAATTCTGCTTTTGGGGGAGAAAAACTCAACAAACTGAGGTTTAACATACAATTATCGAGCACATGAAGGAACACTGGGGGCCTCCTTTCATGCCAGAGAGCCACCAGATGGTGGGATGTGCCAGCCATGCAGCCCTCCCACATCACCCTCAAATGGCAGTCAGGGAGTGAGGTCTCCTGATACCACTGGACACTATTGGGGTGCACACTTGGGAAGCCCTACCCAAATGAGAGGGCCACTTGATGAGCAATGAAGTGTTTCCCCCACTCTCAAAGCTGGGGTTGTCCCCACTGGTCAGTGCCTGGCTCCATCCTGCTTGTGGCAGGAGCTGACATTGAGGCATTCCCATCCCTGGGCCCCGTGGCCACCTCTCCTGCTGGCTTAATGCCCCAGGAAGGTGCCAACCTCTGAGCCTGGTAGTGCTTGGATGGTGGTATCTGCCTATCTCGTGCTGGGAGCCTGGGAACCTTTGCTTGCCTGAGTAAGTGTGGCAATTTCTGTCCCTCCAGTCTGCTGGGAGAATGTCAGGACTAGCCCTGATTCGCTTCAGTCACAAGAACTGCATTGTCTTAACTTGTGCCAACTCTGTTTCTAATTACATTTTAATCATTTAAAAATGATTAGTAGTTTTTATTGCCTTGTTTGTGGGTAAATTTTCTCACCCCACACATTCTAGCTGCACTCCAATGACAAGTCCTTTTATAGGCAAAAAAGCCCCCAAACGTCCACATGACTATTTACCTACAGCATATTTTATTCCTTCCTAAATTTTAATACTTTCAGGGTGCCAAGGCTCTTGCATTTTCTGGTGGATCAATTGTGGTATTGTGCTGTAAAATTAAGCAGTTTTTTTTGGCAATGCCAAACAATGTAACTTCCACCAAAATGAAGATACCGCACATGTGTTAACTGTGAAAAGTTTCAGCCCCGAATAGTTGCCTTGAAGCTTTTTGCGGTGAAAAGAATTATGTATTTTCCTCTCTTTGAAAACAAAATTATTATTTTTTTTTTAAACCATGTTTAAACAGGCTGTTTTTGTAAAAGGCCCCTTTTTTGTTATCTTTACTGTGGTTAGTTGCTTTATTGCTAATCTTGGTGGGTAACTGTATATTATTCACTCTATTGTTCAGCAACACAAGAGAACCTTTGTCATACTCCCAATAGGGCTATTTATATAGTGTGGCACTTCTGAGGGCTTCTTCCTGCCCTGATGTTCTTCCACCTTCTGGGGAAAGGAAAATAGTTCATCTGAGAGGGAGAGTGAGCGGTGGTCGTTCCTGACAGCCGCTGAAATACGGGCGATGCGTGGGTCCCTGGGATGCCATTGGGAACAAGCTCGGTGGTTTCCAAAGATTCGGTTGTGTGTGGTTGAGGTTTATCAGAAAGTTTATTGAACAGAGAGATGTGCTCAGGTCTGGCCAGGGAGAGCAGCCAGGGTGGTCCTCGCCGCCTGTCACTTGGTGCCATCATGGGATGGGGTCACTGCAGCCCTCACCCTACAGAAGCTGCCCAGGCTTCATCCAGCAGGGCCTTGGGGACCAAGAAGGGCTTGGGAGGGTCAGGAGCTTCTTGATTTTTTTTTTTTTTTTAGTTTTTTGAAGCCTTGACTTCAGCAAGGGATTGTCTGTTAAGGGACATCAACAAACAGGAGCTTTCCCTGCAAGATGGGTGTTTCCTCCCTGGAGCGGGTGGATGGGGGAAAGCCAAAGGCTTTGTTCACCTTTGTAGCTGTGACTTGGTCTTGTGGGTAAAGATGGGACTTCCTCTGGTGGGGAGAGCAGGACAGCTCTCATATTGCTCAGCCAGAGCTCTGGATGCACCAGGAGGGATTCCCACCCTGAGCACAAATGTGTATATTGCCTGTGAACTTACCTGCAATATATTTATGGCTCCTTACAGACAATAACCCCTGACAAGGAATCATCACAAACAACAATTTCACTTCTCTTAGGAAACAATGAGGCACCTTAGTTCAAAAGAATCCCAGCCTTGAGGTCAGCCATGGAGCAGTGCTTTGGGAGACGGAGCTTATATTTCACATGCCTGCTTTGTATCTGACCTGACGCAGGGCACCAGCCGCCAGAGCAGTGCTCTCCATGGCATTAGTGATCATTAACATGCTCGGAAAACTTGGGGAAACAAGCACGCTCGAGCATAAAAAGCTGCTGCTGATGGTGCTTGCATTTTAGCTCCCCCATTAACACCAGTGTTTCTTAGAGGGAGAATAATTGTGCTTTTGCAGTTTTGGGGAGGGGGGGGGGAGGTTTCCCAGTAGCTGAGAGCTGTGTAGAAGCAGGAATATCTTGTGGATGTGTAACATAAGCGTTAAGCAAATGTAAAAACCAGGCTCAGCAGGGAAAAATCTGCTTTATTTTGTGTGCCAGCATATGCGGGACAACTGTTAAACCCTATGGAAAAGAGGCTGCAAATAGGCAGGTCTCCCTGTTTTGGGCGATCCTTGAATTATTATTTGTGAAAGGGGCAAAACCCCTCTCTTTTTATATTTTCCGTTGCTAACCAGCTGTGCAAGAAGTTAAACATAGTAATTAACCCATATGTGACCCACTACATTTGACTGATTTCCAGGCAGGGCCGGCGCGGTAACTCTACCCGGCAATTTGAACCTTCCATGTTCGTAATGATGATTTTACAGTGTAATGGTCGCACTAAATCCTTTCGCTTTTGCTCTGTAGCCGCTGTTGTGACAAGAAAAGCTGTGGCAACAGAAATGAGACTCCATCAGATCCAGTGATAATTGACAGGTAAGGACTGCTATTGTTTCCTTCCATTTTTTTTTTTTTCTCCCTCTCCTCATTATAATGAAACACCTGCCCTGTGTTGCTAATGGGGAGGAATTAGGAGTGTATACGGATGAAATTTTGTTTTTGATACCGCATTAGTTGTGCTTTGCAATTGTGATTGCCTTGGAAGGACCATATGCGGGATAATGTTGGGATAACGGAGCGCCCTGCTCTGTGGAGGGCTCCAGCTCTTGTAACTGATTCATGTGCATAAAGAGGAGATTTTTCTTTCTGACTTTCTGTGACTCAATTCACATGCTATGCCAGGGAAGCTTCAGGAATAAAATAATAATAGTTTGTGATTTATGAAATGTGGTTGGGTGCTTATAAATATTTAACTTTTATTTGAAAAATGTTTGAATCATTATCACTTAGCTACTGTAGTTCTGTTGGATGCAATCCATCTACATTTTAAGGCTTTTATTTATGCATAAAAACAGTTAAGAAAATAGATCTGCAACGTAAGGTTTTTCCCCTCCTTTTATTTTCTTTGGTTGGAATACTATTTTGACTATATTGTCAGTTGATTAATTCATTTTTGCCTGTCTTAATTATCGTGTTTTTAAACAGATCCATATTGCTAATCTGACATCACTGAGTAAATCATTGTAGTACAATACATCTATTTCAGTTGTTCAGAGCCATGTGTAGTTTCTGTGCTTGCAAATTATGCAAAATGGTAGCCAAAGAGCCATTTTTACATTTTAATTGTCCAAATGCGTTGTACAAAGCCGCGTGTGATAACCAGGTTATTATGCAGCATTACTCTAGAGGAGTTAAATGGCCATGAAGCACTGAAAGTGTCTGTCATCAGCTGGGGAGAGCAACACCCTTGCGCTGATCTGTGAACAGAGGGACCCTGAAGGGAACTACCTAAACACAGAGGGGTGAGAGCACAGAGTAGGGGGCTTCTCCTGGCTTTCTTGTCTCAGTTATGTTTGCTTTATTAAGTTTAAAGTATCTTCCATGCCAGTGCATCCATTTTATGAAAGGAAGTGAGGAGGGTTTGATGTGTCGGGTGCCCCCCATGGAGGGCGGTCCAGGGGCATCGCAGAGCCTTGTGCTCATCCCAGCTCCCAGTCTTACAGTTCCTGGTTGAATGTGGTAAGAAAGTGCATGTATTGGAAGCTTATAAGAGATGTTTTGATTAGCTGTAACAAGTAATCCTGAGAATGTTTAAATCTCAGAAGATACCTCTATTTATTTTAACTGGGCATATTTTCATCTTCTCTGAGCGTTAGGTAATATCAGAGATAGTGTGTGGGGGGAAAACCCCCCAGTGAAATCTGTACAGAGCTGTGTTTTATAAGCATGCTGCAGAGTTGAACACTATAAACATGGTGTTAGAGTGGCATTTTGAGTGACATGAAAGCTACAAAATTCACATGAATTTTTCATTGTACTGGAAAGTGAGATGTTAAGATGCTAATGGCAGGTTTACAGAAATATTTTGTTTAACTATCTAGTATGCAAAACTGCTAGTTGCAAATCATTTTAAATTTTGAAAGCCAGGAATGCTTTCTGTTACATGTTTCCTGCAAAAGGAAGAAAACAGGTACAGGAAAAAACCAGCTTTATCTTTCTAGCGGTGATCCATTTCTCAGTCTTTACATAAATTGATGCAATAGATACCAATTTTGAAATTCCTTTTTAAAATGCAAGCTAAACATAATTTAAAGCTGATAACACAAACCCTACCTCACCACCCGCACTGAATCGTGCTTGGCTTGTGAACGGGTTAAGCTTTTAAGTTCTTCACTTGGTTTTTAAATTGTGACTTTGATACAGAAGGTTGATATGACTGTGGTTTGAATAACACTTGATTTTGACCTGTTCCTGTGGGTTGCAATGGTATAAGAAATTTGACTCAGCAGTACTGTAATTAGCCCTCCCCGTGTTTTTGAAACAGGATTGTGTTACCTGGATTGCATTAGTGTGGCTTCTATTGTTGCCGCTTCGCATCTGTCCCAGTAGGGTACTTAAAACCTTTTCTTGGCCGGGGCTAGTTCAAACACTTTAGGCCAAGTAAGTATGTGCTTTATACAGTTAGTGGCTTTAGTGATGTTTCTTGTGACATTTATCCTATTCATTTTTTTTCTCCCCTTTGGTTTGGAAAGGATGAAGTGATCTGTGTGGAGCCTTTTTACCTTAAAACGAGTCCTTTAAAATTGTTCTGTGATTAAAACGCCTGCACAAGTCAGACCATGTGTTTGGTTGTACTCCATTGTCGCTTCTCCACGCACGCAGTTTTTAACTATTGCGTCAATTGATATGCAAAACCATATTTAGATATTTTTATTTGCATTGAGCTTAGAGAGTTCATTTACCATTTGGGCTAAAGTGCTCCCGCATGCCTTACGCTCTGATGAAGTCTCTGCCCATGGATTTAATCTAACTCTTGCGTCAAATCCTGCGAATCCACAGACTCTGACCTAACATAGAATTTGACATAGAATCTATCCATGGGATTTTTGACTTATGTACTTACATGGAAATGCTGTCCTCTTCTGACAAGCTGGAATAGTATTTTGGATTGATTAATTCTCTTTGATGAGGTTAGAGAGACTTGGGATAGGGAGGGCTCTGGCTTTGTGGTGGTTTGGTGAACTTGGAGAAGAGGCTGTTTGGCAACTTCAAAGTTACATGAGTTGTATTCTTTTTCAACCCTGGATATACTTGAGAAGCGAATCATATATTTCTATTTAATCAAAATGTGGGATTTTTTTTTTTAAAGTATGTAGCTGTGTTTGAAACAGGGTATGACTTTATCCTTTATAAAATTCTTTCATACTTTGCTCTATTATAGTATTAGCAGATACAGCAGTGAAAGGGACTAAAGAAATTTATGCTCATATAGTGATCTAAATTTTCTTTGGAGAACAAAATAAATGTATTATAGAGCAGTAATTCCAAGGAAGTTTCTTGGAAATCTGTGTGTGTCTGTATCATCTTCTTAGCATAGCCTGTATATTTTATTGCTAATCCAGTTACATGTGTTGAGATGAAGATCTGATGAACAGGAACTCATTTTAAAAGGGGTATTATTGTCACAATACAAATGCACAATTCCTCCTACGAGTGCAGTGGCAGGGCTGTATTGTAATCACACTTAAAGAAAACACAGAGCACTTCCTGTTATTAAATTAAATTCTAGATTGATTTAACTTTCAAATTGTAACTCATATTTGAATTTAAAAGGTTTGCAATAAAATTCCTGTGAAGAAATTGAATAAATTGTAGTTTTATTACCACTCTGGATATCCTGGTGTCCTAACCTTTTTCCTTACAGTTATCTTAGTTCAATAAATAAAACCTCATTAGACTATTCCCATTTCAACGAGTTTATTAAATTTTACAGGAGTAATTAGCATAAGCTGTGCTAATTTTTCTGGAAGACTAATGAGAGAGCTTCCTAATTAGGTTTGCTTTGTAAGAATCAGAAAAGATGATAATGACAAAAGTCACATAGGGGAGAAAGTGGGGCTTTATGTTATTCCTTGGTTGAGGAAAGAGACTCCTCTCTTGACACACTGTTCCAAACTTTTAAACCCATTTTACCATTGTCAGGACTGATATTTAATGGTGTTACCAGTGCCTGCTGGGGCTTCTTTACCTTTTATGGCTGCATCCAGTAAATAGGAATCCTACTGACTGATAAAATAGGAATAACCACTGCAACCCCAAATATAGTGGCAGAAAAAATATATGCACCATATATATCCTATACCTCCAGCTTGTGACATTGCATGGAAAAAGGGCTGAAAACAGCCTGATTGGCAATTGCTCGTTCATCCCAAATTCTCCTTCTTCCCAGAGTGCTTGAGCAGGCTGATGACAGTGACCTGGAATTGTCTTTGCTGAGATTTACCAATACAGACAAGACCTACTTAGGAAATCTGGCCACTGTCTGTCTTTTGGATAGATCATCTTTAGCCAAGTGGCTCCTTGCTGGAGATCCCCTGGGTGACACTGTGTGCCCTTCAGGGGCAGGACACCATGGGGATGGCCATGGTCTGTTCTGGCCCTGCTCTGGCAACACACTGAAGTTCTTCATGTGCCACTTCTAATGCAGTTTTGGAGCAGTGAGGCTCCTCTGTCTTTGAAGATGTTTATGCCTTCCTAGTTCCATCAGAGTTGGATTGGGGGCTGTAATATTTTCTCTGCCTTATTATCAGATGACACCAAAGTATGTTTTAATGCATGACCTGCTACCAGTGTCTGAAAGGCCTGTGTGCTTCCAACACCTGCTGTACAGGATGCTCGGCTGGGCTCTCCCCAGCATACCCAGCCTCTGTGGCTGTGGAGGGAGCCAACTTACCTACAGATGGTTTTGAAATCTTTCAGCCTTTAACCTGAAAAATTTTATGTTTGTGGCTAGGATTTCACTGTGCAATGACATGAAAAGTCAATGTCTCTGTTTTACCGCTTTACAAGTCGTCACGTAGTGGATTGTATTTTACAGGCCTGATCATCTTTTCAGCCTAAATACCAGGAAGGTGAAAAAGTGATACAGTGGACTGTATCACACTCCCTGTATCCTTCCCCCAGACACACTGGTTAGGCAGATGTGGCGATTAATGCATTTTGCAGTAGCTTTCCATGCCTGGAGGGAGAGTGATGGCAAGGCAGGCAGAGCCTGCCAGCTTTGGGAGAGGTGCTGGCAAGGGAACAAGGTGGGTTTTGCTTGGGAGGGAGCTGCTGAGGATTTCTTTGCTGCAGGGAATGGCATCAGTGCTGGAGCTGGGATGTGGGCTCATCACACAGCAAAGTGGCAAGAGATGTCAGGTGTTTTGGCAGGGTTCCTTTGCAGAAGTCCCAGTTCCTGCCCTATCCTGGTCATATCCTTGTCCCCCTGGCCATATTGGTTCCACAGCCTGGTTGTGTGGGGTCAGGGGAAGGTGTGTGTGCTGCTCTCTCCTTATACCAGGCATGGGACTGCAGGAGCCTGGGGGTCCCATCCG